GATTTACGTGTTTTTTTAATTATTTGGTACAAAGTCTTACTACATAACTCAGGCTCGTAGTGATCCTCCTGTCTCAGCCTCCCCAGCACTGGGATTATAGGCTTGTGCTACTAACCCAGTTTCGGTGGCTGGGTAGGCACCGGGCCACCATGGTTACAGAGGATTGAACCTGGGTCCTTGAGCTTGCCAGATGAGTGCTTAGACTGCCAAGCTATCTCCCCGGTCCGGTCTATGGGGACCATTTTTTTTTTTTTATTTTTTTTTTTTTTTTTGGTGGAACTGGGGATTGAACTCAGACCCTTGTGCTTGCCAGGGAGTGCTTATTCTACTGAGCCATCTCCCCGGTCCCCTGAGGAAATTTTTATAACTCTTAGACTCATGGCTTCTTGTCACACCAGTGCTTAGATTGTCCCACATTTACCCAGTGAAGCTCCTTTCTGTTGTCACCAGGTCCTTTTGGCACCTTACTTTTATGAGTTCCCTCTTTTCCTGGCTCAAGATGTTCTGCACACATCATAGGCCTTCCCTTGTCTGGCTGTATGTATCCTGGTTCCGCCTAGTGGAGCAAAGCTCCAGTCCTAGGACGCTGCTTTCTCCTGGAATATCGCTGCCTTGGGGTCCCTCGATGGACAGCCGGAAGTGTCGAGGTGTGCACATGCATGGGGCTATGAATACCTCGTACCTCCACCTCTCTGGCCACTTGTGTATCTTGCTGTCACATAGAGCTGCAGGGACAAAGCCAGTCCCCATAGCAGCCCTGGTTTCCAGTCCAGCTGTAGTGGCTTGTTGTGGCTTCCACCCTGTGCTTGCGAATCTGTTCTGATAGTGAGAAACTTGGCTGTCATCAGTAATGCATTCGCGAGTTTTCCCAGTGTCCTCTGCGTACCCAGGCTTCTAGGTCTGATGTCTGTCTCAGACCATCTAACCCTGGGCCCCACACTCTGCTGACCCTGGTGCCTAGGGCTCTGTCCTCCAAGCAGGTCCTGCTGTAGCAAAACAGTGTCCTGGTTCTAGGGATTTTATTTACCTTTTTTTTTTTTTTTTCAGTACTGGGAATTGAACTCAAGCCCTTATTCTACTGAGCTATCTCCCCAGCCCCTATTTATTTACTTTTTTCTTTTTTGGAACCTGGGATTGAACTCAGACCCTTGCACTTGCTAGGCAAGTGCTTATTCTACTGAGCCATCTCTCCAGCCCCTATTTATTTACTTTTGAAACAGATTGTCACTTTGTTGTTCAAGCTTCCCCAAAAAACACTCAAGGTGATCTTCCTGTCAGCCTTTCAAGTGGAAGGGTGAGCAGGGCTTACAGGTGCACAGAGCCACAGCAACTCGGAGACGAGTGCAGAGGCTCACACAGCAGGCAGGCACTTTCCCGTCATCTGTGCCCTGTCACCACTACCTACCTCTCCACTGTCTCCCTAGGACCACCTTACACCCACCAGAGGACACCACAGAAGATGGTGTATTATGGGAAACCTTCTTGCAAAAACAACTACGAGAACTACATTGACATAGTCAAATACGTGTTCAGCGCCTACAAAAGAGAGGCCCCGCTGATCGTCAACACGATGGGCTGGGTGACAGGTAACCCCAGAGCTGGCGCCATCCTGGGAGAGGGCAGCTGGCAGAATGCACGTTAGTGAGCCCCGGTGCTGTCCCATCCATGTGCCACGTGCTGCTCAGATGAGGGCAGCTTATTGTCTCCTGAGCATGGATCCTGAATGCTGCCTTCCAGCTCTGCTGCTACGCAGTCCAGTGCTGCCTGTGGGTTTCCTTCTCACGGTGGTGCAGGACTCCACGATGTCCGTGCGCCACGTGCTTCGTGGGCTCTGCTCCTATTGGTTGCTCAGGTTGGCTTCATGTCCTGACTGTCATGGCTGGGCTGCGGTACACACGGGGCGATCTCTGTTTCATATACTGAGTTCTTTTCCTTTCTATTTCTCCCTGGGGTTGGGAGCGCAGCATTGTGTGGTAGCTCGGTTTTTATTTATTTCCTTATTTTTCTGCTTGTGATTTTTTTTCCTTTTTTTTTCTTTCCTTTTTTGTCTTTTTGAGACAGGGCCTTGCTGTGCAGCCCAGCTGGCCCGGAGCTGGCCTGGCAGCCCTGCTTGTGATTTCCGAGGCTCCTCCCCTGCAGTGTTCTTGGAGGCCAAGCCACTCTAGGCTCCCTGCAGGGCTCCCTTCGTGTCTGCCCCAGCCCTGGGTGTCTCACCCTTTTGCTGATAACCGTTCCAACATCACCTTGAAGGATGTTTGGTTTTGTCTTATTTTACTTTATTTTTAAAAATTTTTTACTGGGCCGGCCACATAGCTCAGCAGATTAAAGTGCCTGCTTAGGCACATGTAGAGTGTGCCATGCCAGCCTTGCCCCCAGGGCATGCTGAGGCAGGTGAGACTGGGCGTAGTGACACGCACCTGCAATCCCAGCACTTGGGAGCCTGTAAACAGGAGAATCACCACGAGTCCGATCTAATCGTGAGACCCTGAACACCCTGTAGACCCTTCTCTAAAAATATACAAAAACAAAATAAATA